AGGGGACAGTATAGAATACAGTACAGGGGACAGTACAGAGGACAGTATAGAATACAGTACAGGGGACAGTACAGGGGACAGTACAGAGGACAGTATAGAATACAGTACAGGAGACAGTACAGGAGACAGTACAGAGGACAGGAGACAGTACAGGAGACAGTACAGAGGACAGGAGACAGTACTCACCCTAAACTGAAAGGAAACTGGAGAGATTTCCTTGAAACACTCATCCCCCTCATAGATGGAGCGAAGAGCCTCCAGCTCCATCTATGTTTGAAGAAGAGAGAGAGAGACAGGAGGTTAGTCAGATAGAAGTTCATTACATCTTTAGAATTAATAATTACAATAAATTACATTAATTACAGCTTGTCCTTACACCGAACACCATGACGACATGTCATTAAATCGGTATACATGTGATCCTCCAGACATTCACTGACTACCGGTGAATTCAACCTTTCACTTGCTGAAGCCATCTGCTACCTCACTTATTAGATGGCTGAGGTATAACACCGACATCTAACTATAATGTTGACAGTTAACGGTTACACCGGATGGATTCAAGGCCGTTTTGTAATCAGAAACGGTCTTGATCTCAGGTTTATGTGGCACGTATTCCTCCATATATTTAAACACACTTAACTTGGCAAACGTCTGAATGGAGTTTGGCGAACCATTTACTCCGGCATGAGCTGATCAGAGCTCAACAACAGATACAAAGTCATCGGACTCTCCGGGCCGAGCTCTTTCTCATCACATAAACGCCGACACCTGACCTGTTTCGCTGTGTACCGAGAAGAAGAGCCCAACTAAGCTCGTCAACCTAGACTAACGTTATCATGCTAGCTGTCATGCTAGTCTCCGGTAGTTAGCAGCTAACAGCAGCTAGCCTGCTACTGCAGCATCACTCATCGTACCTCCTGATCCTCGTTAGCCGTCATGGTTTCCTTCTCTTCCTGTAGGATACTCTCTGTGTAGAGTTTATACGAGTCCCACAGTCAACAACCCATTTCGCTTGTTAAAACTATGATAATAATTTCACAACTTCCCCAGTTAGTACAGCTATTGCCACCACATTACACGCATGCGCAGTTAGGCTCTCTTCGTGAACTTTGAACCGCCTCATTAGTGGATGCAGTTTTAGTTTATAATATCGTATTATGATCAATAAAAGACTACTATTCCATAGGAGCATTGTAATGTTTACTTCAATGTGACTAAAAACATTGACAAGCTACATGTGAAAATATGATAAATCGATGAATATTCAATATATAATTCAATTAGCGGCACAAATGGTTATGCTCATGGTCAGTTGGTAGCATATAATCTCTGATACATGACAATAATAAGGGTTGTGATACCAAAGAGTGTGCTACAGTTTCTTACAAATGATATAACCGGTGGTTCAGCAGATACATTTGACCATAGCATATTCTTATTACTAAGTAAAGTGCTCAAATAAATACATCTGAAAAAGAATGTGAGATGTAACTATTGTAACTGTAACACTTTCCCATGGGAGATTATTTTGGCCATCCCATGATGGACCATTAAAATGGCATATATGATAAGAAATACTGGATATATTCAGTAAAACATGCGGGACATTTGGACTGCAAATTCAGTCATGTTCTTGTTAGTTTATTGCAATGTGTTCTGCATGGACTGGGGAAAAGTCTGGGGGGAAATGTCTTTCTTACAAAGGCAACAAGATGTAAACGAATCTATGAAAATGACAAAAGAACAAGAGTGACTCAAAACAGAAATTCGAAAACAAAAACGCTTTTGCCAAGAGTCATTTGAATATGGCCCCAGTGTTAGATGTTTATTTACATTTTATTTCATTCATTTTTTTCTAGCTATTTATTTTTAAAACACTGGTTACATTCCTGGAATGAACAATTTGGGTGTACACATTTTATGTACTGCTATATCAACAAAGAAGACGAAGAGCATACAAGTTCATCTCTAGCAAACACTTTCTAAATAGAATTTCAAATCATGTGTAAAAGTAATCTTTTCTGTATGGGGAGCCAGTGGAGGGTTTGAAGGAGTGGGGTGATCTGATCTGTGGATGTTAACTTGTGGGTGATTTTGGTGGATGTGTCGTACAGGATGCTGTTGCAGTACTCGAGTCATGAGGCGATGAAGGCTGAGTGAGGATGAGTGTTTCAGCGACTGAGGAGGACAGGGAGGGGGCGTAGACGGGCAATGTTTTTGAGATGAAAGAAGGAGGTTTCATCTGCTTGTTTTTCTAAAAGGTGTCCATCTGTCTGAATGCAGCAATAGTGTCAAAGCATCAGCCAGTTCTTCACTTTTGCATGATTTCTCTCTTTATCTGCCAACTTGTTAACTTGTCATTCCAGATCATGTCATCCTCTCTCCAACCAGCCATCATGTCCCACTCCCGATGACTTCTCTATGACCAACTTCACTTTTCTTAGTCGTGCTTTTGAGACCAGATGTTGGTACAGTGCGCTGTTACAAGTAGTTTCAATTTAGCATATTAACTTTGGATTATCTTTTAATTCAGTATCTTACATCTTGACTTTCTATCTCATAATAGTATTTTAGGTTTTGTTATTTTTAAAACCTCATCTTTTCTGTCACATATGGGCTTCCATGCAGTGAAGTCTTGTGGTTTAAATCTTGTGTCTTTTTTTCTAAAAAATATTCTTTATTACCTTTTGTAGCTTTTAAAAAACAACTTAATATTATAAGAATATTCTTGAAGAAATAATAATTATATTTGTGCTGTGAGGGGAGTGAATACTCAGCAGGTTGTAGTGGAAGACAAGAATGTTCTCCTGAAGGTTTTTCCATATGTCTGTTTTGTACTATAATATTCTATAACCCTTTATACTGTATGTTGTGTGTTAGCGGCTCCATGTACATAGACGGTTGGTGCAATACTCATAAAGTTACAGAGAGTAATTAGAGCCACCATGTAAAAGTAAATGAGCTTTGATGTACTAAACCAAAAGTACACAGTCTGATGAGAGTGTAATGTTAAACGCTAGCAGCACAACTCAGTGTGTGGGAAGCAGTGACGGTTTCCACTGTGCAGCTCCAGATGACACACGGTGTTTGAGTTGTGATTATGTTGATCCTCTGAGTTGTTCCCCTCAGGTGAAGAAGGTGGAGGAGGATCAAGAGAGATGAAGAGAGATGAGTTCTCTGAGACGGTTCTGGCTTTCAGTGTTGGTGAATTCGTTTATTGCACTCTTGTGATAAGAGAGAAAGGTTTACTTGGTCAAAAGAGCCTGGGGAACTCAAGTGAACTTGTTCTGCTCCACATCATTGCAAGTTAAAAGACAAGAATCATATTTGTCCATTTTCCTATGTAAAAATATCGCAAAATGTCACAAATACAGACCAGCGGCAACAATGTGTTAGTCCATCTCTCAATACAGTCAGACTTCCCTAACCTGTCTGTGGCTCTCTCTCCAAGCACATTGGTTCCCAATGATGATGTCAATCTTTAAAGACAGCAAATGTATAGCTTCATTTGAAAGAAAAAGTCCTTAAACAGCTGGTCACTATCGTTTCTATAAAACATTACTCTCAAACAGGAGGAAATAGAGCATTTGTAGGGGGACTACTTTCAGTGGCGGATGAAGTCACACTTTGTGCTCTAGTGAGTATTCATGGCAGCAGGGCGGTGTTGGATTGAGTCTAAATAAACGACAGTGTCATTCAATCAACATGTCACCGAGTGCAACAATGTATCTCATTGCTGTGCTTGTCATAGTTTTTGGACAACAATGGAGCTCTATGACACGGAGGAATCATACACACACAACACTTGTTGGTACGATAACTTCATTGATGCTTTGGATCTGCACATAACATTTGATATAAAGAAGAAGATAGAAAATAATAACAATATTGATGATAATAATAATAATAATAATATTACACTGACACTGTAAGACATGGTGGGGACCAAATGTTCTGTGTAAATAAAAACACATCTAAAGTTCAGCTGAATGAATATGAGGCTTCAGCAGTTGATCAGTTTGCCATGTTGAATGGGTCTCCTGCAGTGCTGTTTTCGTTGTTTGTTTTTTAATAATTTGGATCTATCATGTTTCATTTATCATTTATGTGTTCAGTTATATTTTCTGTGAATGTTATTTTGCTGGGTTAAAAGTAGAACAATTTGAACATGCTGACACTAAAAATATTGGAATAAGCTTTGAAAATAGCCACAATGTGTAGTCAGTAAAGGTAAAATATGAAATGTTTTTTTATTAGACCAGGTTGCTCATGACACCATCAAAAAGAGGGGGGTTATATATAAAGTGAGCGTAACTACAGAAGAAATACAGTTCATTTGTTTGCATCACATTTTCTTTAACGGGACTTTTGAATTAATTTGACCCAAAACAAGGACTGTGGATCCCCCAATATTTACATTGGAGTCACATTAGGGGATCTCTTTGAAGCCAGTATGGACAGGAAGAATTATTACAGTCATTTCAATGTGCAATCTTGCAACTTGATCTAATTGTTTGCCATGTGCCGATTCTGTGAAGCTCTTTCAAACTGAGGAGTTAGATCAAACAAAATGAAAGGCAACCCAAATGCTCCAAATCGCTGATCTTGCACTTTAAAGATGTGTACTAAAAGGACACCAGTTAGAATGTTGTATGTTCTCAAAGTGCTGTCTATTCACGTTTTTAGCTTTTTTGCAGTTGATCCAGATTTCAGCGTGTAGAGATTTGAATTGATATTTTCCTCAGTATCATCATCATAATCTCCATGTTTACTGGTGGAAAAAATCAAATGACTAATGAATGTTTTTACATTTGCAAAGGCCTGTGTCAATCTTCACACAGGAGTTCTCAGCTGTGTTCTTCATTAAGTGTCTCTGTTGCCTTTCGTAATGGCTATCTCCTCTGCTTGTTTACTTGTGACCGGGCGTCAAGGGACGATAGTAAATCTGTTGTGTTCACGTCAGTATATACGTAGGCTGATTTGCAACCATGACGTCTTCCGATTAGGAGAATGTAACCCTTTAACAGAACGAATTGTCCAAAAGTGTGTTATATGTAAGTGTCCAGAACATATGCAGATTACTCTGTGCAAACGTACTTGCCCGTTTACTCAGTATAAATATTGATGCATAACCTGTTTGTGATTCAACTCTGTTCCTTCTTGCAAGAATAAATGTCCTGTTAAATGATTTTTACATTGGCCTCGAGTGAATGCTTCTAACATTTACTGTCGGATTGCAACGTTTGTGCTCGTTTGCTTCTCTTAAATCCCTCGAAAGAGTGTCTCAGAATCCTGACTTGACTCTGAATATGAAATGCATTGTAACAGCACAATGTCACACTGTATCAGAGAGGTGTTGATTCAGCTCTATTGTTTGGAGGCTGGAGATTGTTGGTGCTGTTGTATTGGACTGCATTATGTTGGAGTATGTTTAGTACCTTTATTTGAAGTGAAGGCAGACATGTCTACATGTTGAGGCTACTGGAGAGAATGGCCACCATGCTCTGCCTTTATAGGAAAGTACCGTTCAGTGGCACAAGTGGGCGCCAAGAGCTTCATCTTCAGAAAGTGTACACAGTGTGGAGGACTGGCTGCCTGAACCTTCAGCGCTATCTCTCTCTGTTGAATATGTTCATGCTCACACAAACTCTAACCATCATTAATGTGGACAAGCAATGTGCACAAAAGTGAATTCTTCAAATTCAAGACCCCAAAGTTTTTAAAGATAACGAATATCATTAATGCACAAACAGAATATTTCCATTTGTTGCGATGGCAAAATATGTGTCACAAATAACAGTTGTGATGCTGGATTAAGTCAATAACAAAATGAATTTTCAAAACTGTTCATAAATGGTACAGTTGTGACACAGTAAACAATAAAAAAAAATCTTGTCTTGTGAACTCATTTTTTAGGGTTGTACCATTAAATGGTGTTTACACATTCATATAACACTTTTAAAAAGGACAAATTTAGCAAAATAGGTACTTTTATTGTTCATACTTAAAGCTACTACAAAGAACTTTCATTTTGTAAAGATTTGGTCCCTGTGGACAAAAGCAGTAGTGTTTCAGAGCACTAGGGTCCGCTAGGCGA